CTCTGCTCAGTGACGGCGTGGTAAACACCCGAGTAAATGGTCCAGCCCTCACTGCTTCTGTCCTTCCCGTGACCCAGCTTCCCAACTCAGCACGAGGACGCTGCACTCCCTCCCACAGCCCGCTCCTCCTGAGCTGCTGCTGCTCCTCCTTCCCTCTCCCTCTTTCCCACTGCTTCTTCTCTCACCTTCCTCCTCCTCGACCTCCTTTCCTTCCTCCTCTTGTTCCCTCCCCCTTCCTCCGATCCAGTTCCTTCTCCTTTTCCTTTTACTTCTGGGCCTTTGCTCATGTTTGCATCTCCATTTCTCAGCCTATTCAGAATGGACTCACATCTTAGGGTCCTCACTTACCCTGACCTATATGAAGGGTTTCTTGAGTATTCAAGCGCACCTTGACCTCTGTCTGACTCTCCGTCATCCTGGCCTTGACCACTCTTCATTTTTCTTGTGGACCTAACTCTCCAGTGGACCTTCGGTGCCTGGGGACATGCCTCTTTCTGCAGCCGGCTGCCACGTTTAGCACAGAGCTGTTGTGTCACCAGTCATGGTGGCCTCATTGATTGAAGCATGGATGTTTTTTACAGTTTTTGAAAGCTGTATCTACTTAATGCCAATGCACATGGAAAAGTTCGGGAATTCTATCATCAGTCTTGGAAATTTTTAATGTCCATGTGACTGATGCGATGGATTTATTTTCATTTGTTGGTTCAAGAGCAATAGTGGTCATAACCTACATTTAATGTTGGGTTCCAAAGGAGTTGTTTTTGAAATAGATGCTTCTGGGCCCCAGAAACATGATGATCTATAGAAATCTTTCTGCAGGTGGCCACAGTGCAGCCAAAAGAGACTGAGGAGTCGCATTGTAAGCCAAGAACAAGCGTGACAGGGCTATTCCCACCTTATAGGGTCTTGTTTTTCCATTTTGGATCAGAAATTATAGACGAACCTTCACCTTTCATTTTTTATATTTCTTTAGATATATATATATATATAATTATTATTATTTTTGAGACAGAGTCTCACTATGTTGCCCTCGGTAGAGTGCTGTGCTATCATAGCTTATAGCAACCTCAAACTCTTGGGCTTAAGTGATTCTCTTGCCTCAGCCTCCCAAGTAGCTGGGACTACAGGTGCCTGCCACAATGCCTGGCTATTTTTTTGTAGTAGTTGTTACTGTTGTTTGGCAGGCCTGAGATGGGTTGGAACCACTAGCCCAGTGTATGTGGCTGGCACCTTAGCCACTGAGCTACAGGCACTGAGTCTTTAGTCTTATATATTAAGCTTGAAGACATGTATAAGATATTGATTTTGGCAGGATGTAGGACAAACATACAAAGAAAAAACCCTTGATGAATGGGATATTTCTACAAATCTTTCTAGTTTCAGAAATCTAAAACTTTTTATAAAACTTCTATGAACTTTAACTAATGGGTGTAGGAGTGGAAAACAGTCATCCCAGCATGAAAAAGACGGGAAGTAGGAACAAGACAAGGCTATTTGTTAGGAAATATGGATTCTAGTTCTAACTTGGCCATGAATGGTTGTGACCTTGTTCACACCTGCTTCTGAATCTCAGTTTCCTCCTCCGTTAAACAAGAGATGGGCAAGACAATAATCAAGTTTCATTCTGGACATAGCACTGTATTTTTGCTTTTATAATTCTCTGTACTATTCATAGACGCCATACCTATCTTCTCATTTTATTCTCATGATAAACCTATAAGGTAGATCTAGCAGAGGTTGTTATTCTCGCCCATTGGAGAGCTGGGTGGATTGAAGTAAGGGGATGTTAGGTGATTGCCAAGGTGTCATTAAAAACAAACTCCCCTCTTAATCCACAATAATTCCTTCTTAGCAGGAGGTATGTGCCTGTGTACAGACATTAGTATGCAAGAGAATGTGGGCATTTGTCAGTTTCTCTGATGTGTGAATATGAAGGTTGTGATTATTAGGTGTACTTATGATTTCCCCAGCTTTACATTGCTAGTCTGTTCTTTGATGATTGCCCTTGTCTAACGGATGTTCTATGTTATGGCATAATTTATAACAAGTGCATTAACTAGGCAATCATAAACAGTAACCAGGGGGCAAGAGGTAGTGGGCAAGAAGAGGTAGACAAGCAAACAGGAAAGAACTAAGAGTTAAATAGTCAGGCACTATTCTATGTACTGCACAAATATTAACTCATCTGGTCCTCACAGAGATCCTAGGAGGAAGGCTGCTGTCATGATCTCCATCTCATAGATGTTGAAACCAAGGCCTAGAGGAGTTACATAACTTGCCTGAGCTAGTGTTAGAGATAGAACGTGAAGCCAGGAAATCTGATTTCAGAGTTTGTACCCTAACCAATCTCATCAAGTTCACAGTGCATAACTGTAAGGCTTGTGAGCTGTTCTGGTATGAAGTGAGATTAAAAAAGAAGACTGCCCACCCAAAGTAATAAGGTTGTAGAGAAATTGGCATAACACACACTCACACGCTACTGATAGTGTTAACAATGAGCTTCATCTTTCTATAAATAATAGTGGGACGAGCCAGAAAGTTTTCCATCCTTGTCATTTCAGAAACGCCAATCCTAGAAGTTTATTGTAAGTTTATAGTTCAACAAAGCAAGATGCTATATGCATAAAGTTTATTATGTGATTCATAATAATGAAAAACTGGGAGCAAACTAAGTACCCTAGAATAAGATAAGATTAGGTAATTTCATAATACATCTACCTGTTGGAATATAAAAATAATTACAAAGACTATATAAAAGGACAGGAAAATATTTCTGACAAAATGTTAAGTTTATATAGCAGGATAATATGATCTAATGCTAATAGAAAAAAATAAGCAGGCTAAAAAGTATGTAGATTATAATGACAACTCTCATATGTACACACATTGGCAAAGCCTGAAACAGAAGGGGAAAACATTCAAGCAGTTAAGTGTTTGTTAAAGTCATTTTGTGTTTTCCAGATTTTTATTAGTGATGGCATTATGTTTATCCAATAGATGATGAGAAAAGGAAAGAGCTCGTTGAAATAATCTTCTATCAGGTGAGGCTTAGGCTGGTGGCAGGTTTCCTTGAGTTCTCTGGGGGCAGCCAGAGTAGTTTAGGGTGGAGAAAAAGGTTTGGGTTTGAGGGAGCATGTGCTGGTGGGAGAAAGATGTGCGCTGGGCTCCTGCCCTGCTCCCGCCGCTGGGAGTTGGTAGCTTGGTGTGTTCACAGAACATCTCCCCATTGTTCATTCTTTAAGTCTCAGAAGTCTTTGAAGTCACTTTCTTGGAGCCAACTCCAACTGCTCCTCCCACCTTCCACCCACTGGGCTGGGTGCCCTCCCGGTGCCCCGTGCACAGTACCCTATGCTCTGCCTATCACTACATGGAGCAGGCTCTACAGCAATATCCTCTTTGCGTTTCTGAGGCCTCTCTGGGCTGCAAAGGTTGACATTACTTCCCTACACCTGACTTGAGTACACCATAAATTAAATAAAATGTCCTTTCTCTTATCTCTAAAACAAGGACATGTTGGGTGGGATCAGATTCTTTCCAACTCTTAACTTTTACTTAAGGCTCATTAAATAAAGGAGACACTGAGTTTTGAAGACAAATCCCAAAGTATGAAATGTCCTCTATCTTTCTGCCTGTAGATGGGCCCCCAAGCATTCTCTGCCCTAGGTGTGGACTGTGAGCCTGGTCTAAGGGTTGGGTTGGTTGTGATCACGGTCTGGGAATTTTCCTAGGTCAGCCGAGCAAGCAAGGACATGGCCTTAGCTGTCTCCTGATACCAGGGGTCTTGTGTGGGAAGGCTCTTTGCTTGTCTTGGACAGTCACAGAGCACACATGACAGGGTAGCTGTACCTCCACGTGTGAAACTGCTGGAGCTGCAGGGTTTTGATGCACATCTGCCTTCTGGCTGTGGAAGTGGGCGTGTCTGCACATGGCTGAGTGTACCTGTGTCAGAGCAGGGAGAAAGGTGGACTAGTGCACTGGGTTTCTGGGCAATGTATCTCTGTATAATGGTGAGCGCATACTACAGGGAATGAATGGTTTTCAGTTCAGAAAATAATTACTGTGAGGTCCGTACTCTGCAAGGCAGGGAGCCTGGGGGAGTGCTTGTCTTACCTGTGTCTGCACCGTGTGTCCCCTCTGTGTGTTTTTGGGAATGTGTTCTTGGCACGTGTCCTGCGTTAACAAGGCGTTCAGTGTGTTCATGTCTGTGTGACAGCGCCTGGGTCCTCTTTGCGGCTGCTTGATCGCTTTCCAGCTTCACTTGTGCCCGCAGTCAGGCTCTGCACGTGCGCCAATCTCTGAGCGCACGTCCCTGAGTGACCCGTGTGCGGTGTGCAGGGACCTCTGGGTCGTGTGCACTTCGTGAGCTCGTGCCCGTCTCTCTGCACTAGCGAACACACCTCCACATGTCTGGGTGCACGTCCCTCTCCATGTGTGCACGTTCCGTGTGCACGCTGCCCGCGTCTGTGCGCAGGGGCGCTCCTCGAGCACGCGCTGTGGCCCGCGGGCGGCCAGGGACCCGCGCTAGGCTCCCCGCGTCCCGCGGGGCTGACCCCTCCCCTCGCGCCCCGCAGCGGGCCGCGGCGATTGGCCGCTCGTCCCCTTCCAGCCGTCACCCCTCCCTCCCCCCAGCCACCCGCGCGCCCGCGGTCCCCGCTGTCCCCCGCGGTTCCGGCGAGGCCGCGCCGCGCTGCGCTCCGCTCCCATTGGCTGCGCGCGCCTTTGTGTGGCGGCAGCTGCGGCCCCAGCGCCTTTGAATGTCGAGAGGGGCCGGGAAGGGAGCCTTTCCATGGGCCATCTGTTGCCTCAGGTCGGCCCGCAGCAGGGGCAACAAGTGCGTGGTGAGGGCGTTTCTGACAGCACCCCTCCCTCCCCCCAGACCCCCCTCCTCCCCAGA